AACTATGCGTGTGGTGCGTTTTGTCTTTTACGACTTCATCATTTTTATATCGATGTATCGATACATGTACACGAAGGACGCTGAAATTTTAAACTTTTACATTTAATTTAAAAAAAATATTTTCTTGCATATACAGGGTGTATCAAAATACTTTTACAAACTTTGGGGCGGATTCTTGACGCCCAAACTAGGTCAAATGTTCATATAAACATGTCTGAAAATCATTTGTTTTTGAGTTATTAAGTTTAAAGAAATTTTACGGTGGTTGGCGATGTGTTCCCATGTAGACTAGGTTACATTTGTCATTCGTGTAAATTTGTGGCTAGTCTACTGTCTTCAACGTTTAACGAGTGTAGTAGTGATTTAACTGACAAGTGTTCCGTTTAACGTGAGCAGGCTTTACATAAGGCCGTGCGAATGGTCATAGACGCGAGACAGGATCCCTGGCATCTCAAACTATGGATCGAGTAAGACAGAGATCCGCTCGTACGCTTGACCACGAAGAACATATTTTGCAGGCTGTCGGTGACGATCCAGGCTTCAGCACACGTCAAGTTATCCTAGCATATCGTACATCGTATGGAGGGTACTTCCGGAGCAGCTCCTGTATCCGTATCATTTGCAACGTGTACAGGATCTTTCGCCCCGTGATCACTCACCACGGGAGAAATTTTGCCGATGGTCTATTGCACAAACTGCCGATCCGTTTTTTGTCTCTTCAGTCTTGTTCACGGATGAGGCAAATTTTGGAAGAGATGGAATAACTTTCACAACTAACATTTGTGGACGGATCGGAATCCCCATGATACAATACAGGCTAGACACCAACATCAGTTTACTATTAATGTGTGGGCTGGAATTGTAGGTGACTGTCTGGTAGGTCCATGAGTTCTCCCAGCACGTCTTACAGGAGCTTACTATAGGGACTTTAGTTCGAACACACTTCCAGACCTGCTAGAGGATATACCCCTGCTAATATGAAAATGCATATAGTTCATGCACGATGGGGCTCCAGCACATTTTAGTCACATTGTTCGCGATGTACTGGCTGATATCTACCATGATGGATAGGTAGGGGAGAACCGGTTCCATGGCCTGCACGTTTTCCCGACTTCAATCCTTTGGATTTTTATCTGTGGGGCCATCTAAAGCAATTGGTTTATGCAGCAGACATTAATAATGTAGAGACGCTTCATCAATGTGTCATGGGGGTCTGCGAAACCATTCGACTCCGTGTGGGAATATTTGAAAGGGTCCGCTAGTCGATGATCTGACGGGTACATGCGCTGGTAGAAGCAAATGGAGGACATTTGTTATGAGTTGGTATGTTGAGGTAAAATGATGGCCTTTTGGACATTTATTTATATGGACATTTTACCTAGTTTGTATAGTTTAGCCAATTTCATTTCTCCCTAGAAAGTGTAATGTAAAAACTTAGACGTAAATTTACTGAGGATAATCTAGCGAAAGAAGCACTTTCTATACACTTAGTCTTAGTAAATTGCTTTCTCTTTTAATTAAAGCAGCATTTTTAAATCGAAATTATGGTCAGACTCATTACGGTGAACAACTAATGTATTGTGTCTACTCTTTTGTAAAATATCCTTTTTGTTTTCATATAGAATGTATATATTATACCCCTCAAAACTACATTAATTGACCTTGTAGATAGACTAAACATAGAATAGAATTTATATACAATAGAACTCATACAACAGAATTCATTTATGAAACAGATACTAATAGAATAAGAGCTACAAGGATGCATAACGATGACAACACCAACGTAAGGAAATATGTGGAACTGGAAATTTATGATTTACCATTCCTAGATATTATGTTACACCGTACTGACAATAACCTAAAACTAAGTGTCCATCGCAAATCAACTAATAAAAATGAACTCATAAATTTCTATTCTCACCATAACAGCAAAATAAAATCTAGAATAATTATCGGATTTTATTTAAGAGCACTCAGAATTTGTGTCCCTCAATATTTACATGACGAGGAAGAATACATTGAGCATATTTTTAAGCTGTCCCAATACCCTAAGTATTTCATATTCAACGTGAAACAAAAGCCTAATAAAATATTTAAAATTATTCTGATAAATCCAACGAATCAAATATATTATTCTACCTATCACAAATACAATTGAAAATAATTCATCTAAGCTAAACATAAAATGTATTAGAAATATTTCTAAAACAATAAAAGACTAAATTAATGCAAAACAAACTAATCATATGCTAAAACTTGAAGAAGGAATTTACTCTATCACCTGTAACAACTGTCACAAGGAATACATAGGAGAAACATCAAAGAATTTAGACAAATGATTATTTGAACACAGCAGGTACCTTTTACAAAAGAACAAACTCAATGCTTTAGTTGCTCACAGTAATGTGTTTGACCATAATTTTGATTTTCACTTTGCCATGGTTTTTCCTATCATTGTTCTGGTATATAGAAATTTATATATAATTCTGTCGCGCACACACACACACACACACACGCGCGCGCACACACACACACCACACATGCACACACACCCATATATATATATATATATATATATATATATATTGTGTGGATTCAGGATGAAATCCGGTCTCCAATGAATGACAAACGCAGGAATAAAATATAACAAATAAATGTATTTACACAATAATACAATTGATAATACTGTTAGTAAATCCAGAAACGCGGTTAGTAGCAACAAATATATATATATATATATATACAGTCTGGTAAATCCAGTCTCGAAGTAGGACTTCCTTAGAGTCTACGTGCTCGCAGCTATGACTTCTACTAGCGGTTACCTCACACTATTACTCTACCTCCAACTCAATCACAATCCCTCAGTCTCGCTACTCTGACTGACTCTGGGTATTTAACAGCAGTAGTCCAAGTACACACTGGTCGAGTCCACCTGTATGAAAAAGGGGTGTATCCCATAACATATATATATATATATATATATATATATATATATATATATATATATATATATAGTTAAATCATACATTTTAGATGCATCAAGGGAGGTCTTCAGTGATGCACTGTTCTCATCGCTGATTTCGGGTTTCGCATCATATCGGCTCCAACAGCAACCCCGACCTGATTCTAGACGAGTCAGGCCGCCTCCTTGAATTCGTCGAGCTAGGTTCCGCGACATTGCATAGAATATATAAATATACATACATACATACATACATACATACATACATACATACATACATACATATATTTTACAAATTTCCAAGCGGATAGAATCCAGGTAGAACTCAATGTCCAGGACAGAGTAAGAATATAATAAAAAAGCTTAAACACTAATATTCCATGGTTATAATTTATTACATTGGAATCGTAATTACGATCCAATTCATCAGATCTACAAATTCAAAAAAGAAATCGAAATATATATATATATATATATATATATATATATATATATATATATATATATATATACAATAGCGTCCAAAATTAAGGAACAAAATTTAAGAATTCGATATCTCAAAAAATAAAAGTACAATTTTTCTGAAATTTTCACTAAATGTGAACAAATGGCAGTTCAGTTGTGCTTTAAGTCTGTAAGTTATTTAGAATGATACAGAGAGAGCTATGATTTATTGAATTTTTTACTCAAATATCAAAATTAAGGAAAAAATCGGGAAATATGTGAGAATAATCCAAATGTCTGATAAGCGAGGTTAAGATAAAGATTAGATTTCTTTCCAGTTTGCGTGAAAGTTTTTTTTTTTTTTTGACAATTACCTTCAGCATATATAAGTTAGGGACAGAGATTTGTCTGTTTGCAGAACTACGAAAAGAATGCAATGCAAGAAGATCTGCATGTTCATGTCGAGATGAAAATGATGCATTGTGCATTTCTGCTAAATTCTTGGTTTTGTTTGGGAAGATCTACTTCAACAGACTCCTTCAAAAGAACATTAACCGGAATGGTTAATCTCCACTTAAAAAAGGCTTATCAGAAAGATTCCAGTCATCATCACATTTTCTTTAATATAAATTAGAAAATCGTTATGATAGGGCGTCTGTACACAGAACAAACATTCTTTATTGTCTCTGTTGCATAACTGCTTTGATGAAATGTATACAGATGCACTGGTAAATATACCGTTCATTAAAGCCTTATTCTGACGTGGAAGGCAAGGAGGGAGACAAATGTTAGTGCAAAATATAAACGCGACACAGTCTTTTATTTTTAAATATTCAGGCTGAAAGCCGAAAATAAATATAGTCTTTAAGAAATAAACGGAGCGTCTACTTAAATATGAGTATCCATTAAAAAAAATAACATTTAAAATAATAAATCTGTCGGATAAATAAATAAATCCATTATTTCTTTACAAATTGTTTTTGTTTATATTTGAATACGAAACTGAGCAGAAATGAAATTTCAAGAGTCAATGACAAGAAAGATTTCGCTTGAAGTTACTATTCAGCCTTGCTTGATCAACAAAAGTTTTTCGTGTCCGCCGGTACATCGGATCTAACGACAGCTACCTCTACCGAGGGGAAGACAGGTTCAAATACTGCCGTAAGAAGCATATATTTCTTTAATAAGATTTCTCGAATATTCAAACCGATAGACGAAAATAAATATACTGTTTAAAAAATAAACAGAGCGTCTACACAAATATGAGTACGGCCTAAAAATAACGTTTAAAGTGATATATATATATATATATATATATATATATATATATATTCAGTATCAGCGATAGGGCATATTTAAATATAAGCGTTAACATTGAGGTCAACACTAAGTGGCAATAAAGTGTCTTTATTCTTCAACGCATATTATTATTCCGAATAAAATGTTTGAAATATAATAGTCATGCTAAGGAAAGAGTAAATTTGAAGTTCGAAGGAAATCACAATAAATGAAAAAAGAATGAAAAATGAAAAAGTGTTAAGAAAATAACCAAAAGAAATAAGGAAAAACAAAGCAAAAAGAAAGAAAGATCTCAGAAAGAAAAATAGAAAAAGGAAGAAATATAAAAATGAGAAAAGTAATTTAAAAAAATTAGGAGTTGGAAAAGAAAGAATTGAGGAAAAAATTTGAAAGAAAGGAAACAGAAATAAAATACAAAAGATCTCAGAAAGGAAAAAGGAAATGAAACAAAAGAAAAATGTTGATTTTTAAAGTAAAATAAAAGAAAGTGAAAAGAAAGTATTAAGAGAAAAAAAATATAACCAAAGGGACAAAGAAAGAAAAAAGAAATAAGGATGGTTTGAAAGAAAGAAAGAAAGAAAGAAACGAATGATTGATTAATAAGAAAAGGGAAAGACAATCGGTAAATCTTACGTTCAATTTCAATAAGTTGCCGAAGGTGAGACGTACAAACAACAAAGTTTTTCAGAATCGAACTGCACCAGCGTCTGTGACGTCAAACTCAAACTTTGACCCAAACGACGGAATACTTCCTTTTACAAAAAGTATAGAGAACACAAAAACTGTCTGTCTGTCTGTCTGTCTGTCTCTCTCACACACACACACACATATATGCATATGGATAGAGCAATAAATCTGTAGCCTGACACGAGCTGAAATTTGATCTGAAATTTTCATTGTATAATTTTCGATTTAGATGATTAATGTACTTGACTGAATTAAGTCCATTGACTCGGAAGGAGATTATGTTAAAAAAAAATAGATGCATTAGCCTACAGACATATGTAAATGATACATTTTTGGCTCTTGAACCATATTGCATGAATTCAAAACCAGGCTGGAATTGGTGAGACTAATTTGACGAAGCTTTGACATGAGCCAGTCAGAATGCATTTGCGTGATAGAATTGCGCTGAAAAAAGAAATAAGAAAAAGAAAGAACGAAATGAACGAAAGAGAAAAGGAAGGAAGAAAAAGACAAAGCAAGAATGAAAGAGAAATTCAAAAAGAAAAATGCTAAAAGAGAGAAAGAAAGAATAAATAACAAAAAAGAAAATGTGAAATGTGTGCGTGTGTGTATGTATGTGTGTGGTATGCTCATACACGTACATAAATACATATTTCAACATAAAAGATATATTTAGATCTTAAGGCTCATCGTTTTAATTCGATATTAAGCTGGAACTGGTGGCACTCAATTTAGGTTTATAAACTGAGCCCTTGTGCCAAACTAGTGTAGCCTTTTGAAACATCTATTATAAAATGACTTTTAACAAGTTGTCTCGTAAGCCAGAGTTGCTCCATGCAAACCGCAGTAGGTGGCTGTTACGTTAAATTAGGATTACCCCATGTCGAGGCGACCGTTTCTAATCTTAGTGCAAGATACCTTATTAAACCGGAGTAAGGATCTGCTAGATTGGCTTGCAAATGACCCACAGCTAAGTGATTATTTAGAGAATTTTATGTTTCTAAAAGTTTAGATGAGTAAAGCTAAATAAGGATTCATTGCGATTTGCCAATCTTCCAATTGGAAAAGGTCTTCCTGTTTATGATATCAGCATTCGAATCTTGGGCGTTAGTCGCTAACCTTTGACACCAATTTCTCATTACGCAATACTTGATGGGCACATATATAGCTACTCAGAAAAAATAAGCAGAAAACGTCACATTGTTTATTATATAGATACGATGTATAATCCCAATGTTGTGTGTTTTTGAACAACGTGCGCAAACCAAATGTGGTCTTTCAATGTCACTCCTCTTGACTTGTATCTTTTGTGGGCTTCTGGAGGAATAGCAGGTAAAGGAATGTAATGTCTCGATGGATATAGTAGAAAATCGATACTAAATTTTCATGGTCAGCTCCCCCGAACTTTTGGATAGCATTATATATATATATATATATATATATATATATATATATATATATACACTTGTCTATATTATTTAATGAAACATGTATGAATGAATATATATATATATATATATATATATATATATATTGTCTGATCAAATTAATTGCCTATTTTCCAGTTATGTCCACGAATATTGTAAAATTCCCATATGTTCGGATATCAACAAAAGAAAATAAGTCATTTGGAAAATAATGTTACATTTTTGAGGACGAAATAAAACTAAATGAAAAGTCAACAAACATTAAATTTATTTCTCAAGAAAATAATCATTGTTATTACCAACGATTGAAGGGCGACATGAAACTGATTATTTTATTCCTTCTTAAAAGACTTTAGGATTCTAAACGAAAAAAATTTCAATAATGTTGGTATCTTCACAACTTCTATCGGTTTTGCAGTTAAAATAGTGTCTCAATGTGAATTCGAAGGCGATAGTCCATTGTGTCGAGAGTCTGTAGTAGATTCTCCCAAGCAAAAGTTTGTCACCTGTGTTTCTCTTACTGAATCTCTATTGATATCATTATTTTGAAAAATGATAAATTTCGTGTTGATCTAATATGGAATTTAGCGTGTGACTTTTCCCCTTTATTCATTCAATTTATGAATAGCAAAATCCCTTTGTACTTGTCAGGTTCTCAGTGATCATATTAATGAAAAAAAAATCTCATCAATCGCTCAGAAAATCCTTATGTAAGTGGAGATTGGCTTGAGATGTTGTCAGGCGGAACCCTTTTAACAAGAAACAAAACAATTTTACAGTGGGTTTTTCTTGTTAACGAGGATTTCGACAAATAAATTTATTTTTTGCTATATTCGAATGGTTTTTATTCTCTCTTTAAAAAGGTAAAATTAATTTCTGAACAAACTCTTTCCGTTCAATGTTGTCTGGTAGCAGATTTAGTTTCCCAAGTTTAGTTTAGTCTGATACAAGGCCAAATGTGAAGTAAAAAGTCAGGATCGAACTCGCTTTTGTTTGTGCGTCCAACTTAATTAGTATTCCACTACACAGTGCCCAGATTTCACCTGTCCGGTTCAGTAAAATTTCTGATTGCTTCAATATTGAGGTCTACCAAATCATAAAATAAAACCTTAGGCAAGCGGTCAAAAGTTGGTCCTGGCCTATTTTGAGTTAGTTTATTATAATCAATTCCTATTTTTGTAAGATAAAAACTGAAATTTAGAAAATAGCGTAAATACTGATTTGACAATTTTTCCTGAAATTGCGGCAAACAAAAGGAATCGCTTCTTCACCACTAAATTGTATCAATAAGTAAATTCTCATAAGTTTAATCTGTTTCGATCCTTGTTGATAGGCGAGAAGTATTTTAGTAAGGCGATTACTGAGAATAACAGAAACCATATTTCCAGAAATGGTAACTTATCGTCGCATTGTATCCACTGTTTCTTCTTTCAGTGTCATGTAATCAGTCCTAAGAGTCACCTTGAAGAGACAGACAATGAATAATTGTCCTAAGCATTTAAAGGGTGCGAGCGATGATGAAAGTTGTGGTGGTGGTGGTTGGGGGCCCATTTATGGAGTGCCAGCCAAGTCAAGACAAGGACCTTATCGAAGTAAAACGTGCTGAACGATGGTTGTGCCTAATAAGCAATTAAAGTGAGAAACAAAGAAAACCATTCTTTCCTTGATATATATATATATATATATATATATATATATATATATATATATATATATATATGGGGGCATACATATGCTATTGAAGTCAAAAGTTTACATATACCTTAACTAAATGCCTTCAAATTTTTCACAATTACTAACAATCCACTTAAAGATTCCGTTTTAAGATGGCAATTTCAAGAATGGGAAGCAATAGTAAAGATAAAATTTCAGTTTTTCTTTCTTTCTTTTCATTCGTAATGAGTCAGACGTTTACAGACACTTAGTATTTGTTAGCATCGCCATTAAACTATTTAACTTGACTCAAACATTTTGGGTAACCTTACTACTTAGTATTACTCTTTCGAACATACAATACAGCATGTGGTAGTTTGATAAAGAAAATGAAAAAATGCGCTGTGCTCATCACATTAATCGACAACCACAGCGAGCTTCAGAACGTACTGCTGATTTCTGGCGAGGACGTATCATCCGTAGACAAGTGTTCAGATAAAAGGACGGTCGAGTTTCGCGGCCTCATCAATCACGACCTCAACAAATCCATGCAGGTAATTCCCAAGCAGATAACGGTGTCAGAATCCATTATCAAACGTTTTGTGCAGAAGGTACAAAAACACAGGAAACCAAGCTCAATTAGTTGGAAGATACTGGCGTGCGTGGGTTGCTTTTTGACAAATTTGTCCAGAAGTAGAACAGGTGGAATGACTGGCGACCCTTTGAGATTCCCTCGGGTTCTGAAGCACCGTCGAGTCGGAGGCCAAAAATTGCCCACCCCCATACCTAACACTTATTGAAAACCGCAATCGAGGACTGGTGGCCAACATAAACATGAGCCAGACATTCAGTTTCGAGACTGCATCGAGATTGTTCACGAAGCTGAGGGCGTTTTTATTAAAAAAAACAATGATGTTTTTTTTAAGTTGAACACTTGTATACATTTTCTTAATGTAAAATATACCGTGTTTTTTTTTCTTTTGAATATGTTTATTTTTCTTTATGTTGTAATTTATTCTTAATTAAATGGCGCACTATGTAGAATAAAAACTTCCGAATAAAATGACGTGTTAGACTATGGATTATTGATCGATGCATTTAGCTTTCTTGAAATATTTTCCGGATGTTAAAAAGCCTCATTTATGTTTTTGCTCTAGAAAAAAAATCAATTCTGACTGAAGAAAAAATTTAAAGTCAAAGTAATTTGAGGAATGGGTGAATGACATTATAACCGAGAATAAACAGTGAATAACATTGAAATAATTTAAGAGGCACTGATCTCCAACCATTTTTAACGTGGTCTCGCCATCTTTTTTTTTCATTTAAAATTGTTTCATGCTCAAGCTTTTAAATACGTTTATATTTAGCAAATATTTAAAATACCGTGATAATAACGAATTCTATAATAGAATAATTAATGACTTTCTTTCGACATGTAAAAAAACACTTCAATATTCTTTCCTTAAATTGCCTAACGTCCCAAGCTTCGTACACCATTGAAAATATTTTCCCGCCTAAAATTTTCGTTGATGTTTGAATTAGTTAATCCTGTGTCTACTGAATGAGAATGGCACTGCTTGATCCTACAGTTTGCTAGCTATTGTAAAAATGGTGCTGTTAATTAGGAACAGATGATTTATGCACCCTACCAAGGATCAAAATGTTGCTCACCGGCTTGGGATCATAACGTAGTGGCCACTGGTAGTGGTAAAGGTAATATTAGTCGTTTATTTATAAGGAAACATTCGGCATTCATTGACCAAATGGCGAGTGCTTCTTTCGGTTGAAATTTATATTTTTCTAATAAACAATATATCAGGAAAATAGGATTCTCAAGTCCATTGTTATCGCCCTTTCCAATATTGATGAGCGCTTCCTTCCTAACCTTTTGTTCGAAATAGTGTGGAACGTCAACATCTTGATTATGTCATTATTTAATCCTCGAGTTACATGTGTTATTCATTGTAGTTATTGAAAGGGCAGAAATAATGTGATTTCTTTTATTTAGGACAGTTCTTTATTTGTAATTCTGTAAAAAAGATTCCAATTAATCACGCAATTAACAGAATCAATGGATAAATTGCTCAAAACCTGCATATTGATATAAAATCTATTGACACTGGTACAGATGCAAGATAAATTGTGAATTATACTAATGACTTTATTAACAGCCTGGAACCAGCGGATATACAACGTCATTATAACGTATATGTATTTGCGAAAGACATCAAAACTTTGGAAATCATTAAGACTTTGAACTTTACACCTTATAAAATAGTATTTAATAAAATCTTTCGTTTTATTAGAGAGAATTGATATAAACATTTGATAGTTTCTTTGTTGCATGAGAGTGATGCGTTGTTCCCAGTAGTCGGTGTTCGAACTGTGGTAAAAGCCAAGATTTCAGCTGTTAATTTTCTCAGAATATTCACTCAGTCTTTTTACCAATTCAGTCTCAATCAATGTAAGATCTGCTTCATTTTCATGACTTCTTTGACAGCAAATAAAAAGATCAAATCGACATTTAGCGTTTCTGAATGTTATTTTTGATGAACAAATTCTTCCAGTGATGGGAAGCCATATGTAGATCGGCGTTTTTGATGAGAAAGTAAATTTGATGGAGAAAACTGAGAAATGTCATGGCCCCAAGTTCGCGACAATATTTGCATTTGTGATTTGTGTAACTGCATCGCACAATTTTATTTTCGGCAAAATCATAGGCACGCACTGTCGACATATGGGAGATGAGTGCTCTTCCAACGAAAATTATTATTAGTTTATTAGTTTTGCAATAAAAAAATCATTGAAAAAATTCCAATTAACGTCTCGACATATCGTCAAATCAATTTATTTTACACCAATAATATTTGGGACTAAGACTGATGTTAAAATTTTCAGCGTCCTTGATAAAACCTTTTATTCAGTAAACAATTATTTTCCTGAACTTGTATGATCTTACACTCCTTTTTAAGTAAATCGCGTGCTTCATTATAGATCTGTTTTTAATCATGAATTATCTGATTAGCAATATTATTATTATTATTATCATTATTGTTTCTGTTGTTGCTTTATAGCACCGATATATGCTAAAGGGAAAATTATTTTTCTGGTAAAATATTAGAGTCTCTTCTCGTATGATATCCAAGTATTGGATTTGGTAGCAATATGTTGTACAATTTGTGCTTGTATAAAGGACTCACAAGAAAATTATATATATAAAGTGTTTCGACTAAGTATTCTTTCGAATATATGCTTCTCTATCGTAATGCTCTTTTTACAGACATTTTACCATTTGTCAGTTGCATTGCAAATTATAGATCATCTGTCTGTATTGGATCTTTATACGTTTCCAAATGAAGCCGATTCATAAAGTCGGCTTGAAAACGTTGTTAGGCAATGTAGAATCAATTAACCCTTTCTTTTTAAACTCGTAAATATTAATTGTAGTCAGTATGTTTTTAAAGTTTTAGTCTTGGAATAATACTCCCGACGTCATAATTGCAAGTGTATTGACGTGTGTAATTGCTAAAGAAATCCCCTAAAACTGCCAGCGATCGGCATAAAATTGTATCTGTTGATATTTGTGTTATATTCGCACCTCGGCTGTTGGGCAACGGACCCAGACGAATTGGTCGGTCTCTGTCAGGTTGCCATATGCGAAGGCAGCCACCCAGATAAGCTCCTTGCTACATAGGAATGGGAAAACGATAATGTTGTCGGGGTGCCTACACTGGGTGAAAGCCACGCGCTCCATCAGGGAAGAAATACTGAACTTGATTCCAGTTGATTATGTCGTGAGGAGCGGCGTGCTGATGTTTGTAGATGTGAAACCGAGACGTATGGCGAAGCCTGATGTGGACACATTGTCTAAAAGAATGCTAGTGGTGCATAACATTCAACCATTCCTTATTATACAACTGAGATAAAGTGCATAGAAATGTCAGTTGACATTGGTCGAGTGAAGATTTAATTTATTACTTCTTGTTATGCAACTGATGTCATTTCATTCATACTGCTTGGTTACAGCGTTTGTGATGTCGAGGTCAGACTGATTCCATTGTTGAAGGGCTGCCGCATATTCACTGCCTACATTAAATTTATTTATTTATTTGAACAATATATGCTGTCGGAGTTAAGTCTGACGAAGATCGAAGACTGAACTGTGTCAACTGAAATACACTTGATGTAACATACGCATTCTAATGCTTTCCGTATATTTGCATCGATTTCGGTCAGATTGATTCTTTTTGAGTAGCTGGGCGGGAAGTTTTTTTTAAGAGGGTGGATATAGGAGAGAAGAGACAAAATAGATTTGCGTGATAGTCATGTAGACACTATTGCTTGATCGTATTTATAGAGTTTCTTATTGAGACTGGAATGCACATCTTATAAAACGGTAGGGGTGATTTGGGTACATTTACGGCATATCAACTCTTATTGAAAGTCGAAACATATTTTGGATTGTAAGAATAATTCACTTTTTGTGAGTGAATATTGTATTAACAATTTGTTTGAGACTAACAATGATTTTCATGATACAAGTCCTACTATTTAACCCATAGCTGGGAAGACACTGAACTTTCAACTGTCATGATGGAAGGATGGATTGATATTCTCTGAAGGAGGCTCAAGTAGAACTCGTATATACGACTCATCACTAAAGATACTGGAAAATGGTTGGTTCCTTGTGCCGCTCCAGTAAGACTCCTCCTGCTATGCTTTATTTTTACGGTTCAGACCAAAAATGGAGTATTGCTGTCATATCTGACCTAGTTCTCAGTTGTTAATCTTGATAGAGTTGAAAAGCGTCTAAACACCTGACGCTACTACTTCGATGGTAAAAATTCTGACAAACTACATTCCTTAGTGCCATCAGTTTTAGCCTTTTCAGCTGAGACACCTCCATGCCATGTCCACAAGGTTGAATCATCCCAAATTTTCCATTAGTATGAAGGAAATTCTACTCGGACAGCTTCTTCCCTCGAGGAGTTCCGTGGAACAATGTTCCAAGAGGATATTTTCCTGATCTTAACTACAATCTTAAACTCTTCAAGTTTAGAGTTAATCGTTAATCTCTCATATATAATTTCATAAACTGCATTTCGTAGTCCATCTTCTTACGCTAATGCACCATCATTCAGTAACCTTTTATTTGGTGAAAAATTAGTAAAAAAGTAATAAAGATTTTACCTGGTACAGGAGGTGGATGCATACTTTAAGTGTATGTAACGAACCCAATTGGAATGCAAACTCAACTGACTGAGTTCTCATTCTGCTATCCATTTCACCACTTGTACGAAAGAATAGGTTGGAGCCAAGTATCATATCAGTTGGAATTCACGCCGAGTAGAAATGCATGAGAATTGGACAAATTGCCATTGACATTGACCAAATCAGACTTGGATGAGTTAATCTCAAGTCTAGAGTTAATCTCAATGTATTAGAGCTATTATGATAACACGGATCTCTGCTCTGCCAAAAGTTGCATCAACAATATAACAAAAGTTTACAAGAGAATCGACTGAGTAGATGGTGTTCACTCCAAACGAGAGTAGAGTTGCCAGGGCGTTGCTGTATTGGACATCAGCGGCGGAAAGAATGATTTTATTGGCCGTGAGAAGAACAATAAGCTAAGTGTGTGGCAAAATACGAAACTAAGTCTGAGAGAGGTGGTCCCAACAATGCTGTTGAAAGCGTGCTTCATTTCACACTTAAGAATCTTTTTCAGGACGTACAGCAGCTGAAATAGATATAACTGGATTTTTTTTCACTGGTCGATTGGTCCGGTTTGTCGTCTTGTAGAAAACGTATAGCAGTTGGTTCTGAAGGTACTTAAAAATAGAAAAAAATCCTCCCTATCTCTTTCGCCTACCACCGGTTAATTATTCTTGGTTCCTATTACTTCTCTCCCTCACACTCTCACTTTATCTCCCCTCACTACCCCCTGTTTCTAAGCAGACACTTGCTGATACCCCCTGATGAATGGACGGAGTAATTTCCGGAGGGTCAGTCTACGAAACTCTGGAATTAATTAATTATTCTTTACTTATATTAATTCTCGCCCCCTCTCTCTCTCTCTCTCTCTCTCTCTCTATATATATATATATATATATATATATATATATATATATATATATATATATATATATATATATATATTGAATATTATTATCTTTGTATGATTTTTTATTAAACTTTCCGATGAGTTCTCATTTTCACGAATTGCAAAAAAATCTTTTGCTACAAACAAAGCATTTTAAATCTGAAGATATTATTAAAAATATAAGTAAACATTAACACAAATGAAGACAATGGCCCGAAAACTGTTTAGAATAATAAAAAATATCCATTTCCGAATTTCAGATAAATCATAATATTTGAATTTCATTAGTCATCTTTTCAGACACAGTTCAAACCAAATAAATCCTTTCAACAAATCAGAAACGAGAAAAATATAGCAGTTCAAGAAGCAGTACATCTAGAGCTGGACATCAAAATTAGGATTCAGAATCATTTTCTTATTGTTGTTTAGTTTTCTCTCGAAATTGGGCTGTCGTTTTTTTTTTAAATCGATTTACTCTGTTTTTCCTTTTCAGGGTTACTTAAACTTTTACTCAAATGAATAATCAATTTGCCAACCGCTGTCTGGCCCGCTGTCTCAATCTAATATCTTTTTCGCACATGATTTATCGATTTGCTCATGTTCCCTGCTGCTGGTCCGTTTGCCAGATCTCCGATCATCGTTGGCTGGGTGAAATAACAAGTATAAGGCTCAGTTTCATGGAATTTCTCCGCCCCCACTCTAAGCAGCATCTACACATTGTACTTAATGGAGATGGCTAGGGCTATTTCCTGGTGAATTTGACGTGAGAATGTCGACTACCAAGGGAGATGAGTAGTTTTTGTTTTTTTCTCATCGTCTTCGTATAGCTCAAAACGTTACAAACGCAATGCGGTATGTCTTAACCGCATACGTTTAATACACTATTCTTAATTACGTTCACAACACAATCAGAACATTGAACATTTGAAAACTGATAACTTGTTTTAGACCGTATTTCTTTCGAACAATCAAATCTTTTCTTAGTTTTATCGATGCTATTCATCCTCACATGACGTTTCGGCCGTTCCATTCTACGGAATCTCTTCAGGCTTATGGAGTGGAGGGATACTCTTTTCGGTTAGAGAGTTTCTTTTTTCGGTAGCAAACCGAATTTCTTAGCAACAACAATCCTGATATTACTCGTTTCATTAAAACTCTCCTCCATTTTTTTTACGTTGGAATGTTCTTTGTTTTTCCCATGATTGAAGCCAAGAGAATCACGTGGAATTGGCATCTTTAGATAAGCTGACTTGAGTATGCATTTGATAAAACAATATATATAGATACCGTCAGCTTTCACAATGTCTCAACTCTCTAACTGCTGAAAGAAAATGGTTCCTGCAATTGGTAGCAACTTAAAGTAAACTGCACCAACACAAGTACACTGAACAGTTATCAAAACAATCTTTAGACGGACATCCATTTCTAGCAATGCTTTCATCTCTTCTACTAAACCATTTTCTGCATTACTTCATATTCTTGTAATATATTCATTTTTCATTATTAGTCATTAATCTAGTAAAATGGTGAGGCATTGAGAATGGAGATAAGTCGAGAGGTTCACATTTGCTTTATGGTTGGCGTCTGTCAATTCATGGAAAATCCATTTCCTGAGCTTATAAGCGTTTCCAAGTTCTTGCAGATAACGGTAAAATGTTAAATAGCTTAATCTTGACTTTTGCGTTTATTCTTCAACAGTAACAAGACTAATCCCTTTTTTTCAAACAAAAGCAAATCATCCTTAAACTCAACATGTTTGTAATGTCTTCATAGTCTCTTATTACCATGTGGACGTTTTAGAATAGCGAAAATATTCACTCTATTGCTATCCGATTTAAGACAAGTGGAATGATATTTTATCTTTAACTTTGAGAGGAATCATTAATAGTGTAGAATTTATTCGGACAAATGATTCTATTCAGTTGATATATTAAGGACCAGTTTCCGTCGGTATTATAGGATACAAATCCTATATTCCAGCAAATGACTAAAAAAACACAAAGTAGATTTGCACACATTTCATCGATGTGAACAAAGACTGGAAAGGACAGAAATAAAAATAAAGTTGTCTCATGAGTGAAAATTCAGAATTGTTTTCATGATATGATTTTGAAAACTTATTAACTATAAAGAATATTTAGCTGACATAAATTGAGAAGGAAATTTATTTGGCCTATAAAATGATGTCGATCACTTGAACATTAAGTTAAAAATAAGATAAGCTCTCCAGAAATAATCTCGAAACCTGAAGTGGTCATTAACTCAAAATTCGTGACAGGCTGCTCGAACATAAACCTAATAATAAGAGTAATTAGCTAAATTTAGACCTAAAAACGAACACATATTGTCGGACATAAAGTTTTTGTCCGTACAAATAAAAGAACAAAGAATAATAATTGAGTCATAGACATTTTAAAAGCAACAAACAGAAAGTAAATAAAGTCATGGCGGCAATAAAAAAAAGAAAACAAAAATAAAACAAGCGAGTTTGGGAAATATTAATTTGAAGATGAAAGTTGGCCTAAACATGAAGTTGTATATATGAAAACGAGGCTCTTCTATCGCCTACAACTGTACATTTTCAAAAGCGTCCTTGCATTTTTCATGTTTAAAAACCATTTCGCTAATAGAACATTCCTTTATAAAAAACGATAAAAAGAAATATTTGTTCAGACAATCCTCACTCGGTCACGCTTGGAAGATTTCTTTAAATGACACTTTTAACCAAATGCAAGCACATTCCTTTAAACACGCCCTTCCTGTTAATTTAATTGTTGTTCTTATGTCACTTGTGTTATTTGTATCATTCGATGAAGAACGATCAGCATTCCGTAAAGTTGGTTAAAAAAGATATTAGCAGATAATTTGGCGGCTGTTGTTAAGAGAAAAAAAGAAATGTAACACATCGTAGTAGACAATAGTTTTTGAAGCAGTCTGAAATGTTTCACCAATAAAAATTGACGTATTACTTTTTATCACAACGTGCATGTTGTTTTCCATTCTATATTCGTTTATTAAATGTCATATTTCAGAAATAAAGAAATAGCCTTTTATGATATCTGAACTCGTATCACATACGCTAAAAGATAACCTGAGATTGATATTGCCTTAACGGGGAGTTTTTGAGGCCATTTAACTAAGTGGAGTTAAATCTAGTCATACAAGTACTTTACTTCTCCCCTGTATTGTTTGTTTACACCTAATAGAAGTAGACATATTAGTCTTTTAACTTGTTTCAATTTCTTAAATAATACATTGGCACTCAAAATTTTTGGCCTGTTTATCTTTCATTTAAGTTACGATTATATCGCGAGTTTCAGTTTCTTTTAAATGACACAACTATTAATTAAACACCGTGGATAAGTCATAAAAGTAGGGAGAGCGTACATGTCGCGAGAATTAGCTTTCTCCTGGGTTTGAAAAACCGACCATCTTTATATTTATGAAACTTAACCATGACCCAATGCCATCAATGTGGACACTCACTAAAAATCGACCACCACACACACACACACACACACACACACACACACACACACACACACACACACACACACAGCACTTTTATTTTTATTTTATATTGTTACCCATTAACAACGCCAATATCTCTTGATACTGGCGCAATATAATATCTACTAATGCAAAAAGAAGGCAAAACAAATATTTATATAAGTTGTTAAAGAGAGAGAGAGAGAGAGAGAGAGAGAGAGAGAGGTTTAGAGTGGGAGAGGAGTGAGAGTTTAATTTCTTTAGTCATCCAAAGTAATTTAATTCTCTCTCTCTCTCTCTCTCTCTTCCCACAGCAAATTATCTACGGGGTGAAACAGGAACAATAACATGATCGCTATATCCATTGTCAATTTTGACAGATGTAAGATAGTCAGAACTTATATTAAATTAATATCTTACTTTCAGATTTACAGTTTGTGTGTGAACGCAATTTGTATTCGTTTCGAAGCATTACTGTAAAATATTTATAACGCTTATTTTAGTTTGACACAAGGTCACAATATTAGAGGTCCCTTATGAAGATCAAACTCTTGAGCAATAGATTAAGAAATTAACGCATTACTCAACTATATGCAGATATTTACAATGTTTATAAAAAGGGATCCACTAGGTTCGATCTCAAAGTGCGAGGCTAGCTAATTAACCAGTAATCTACAGTAGGTACCTTATGTATACATAGAATATAGTTAAGTCTGTCACAAGATTAAGTGTGGGCAAAAGTTACCAGCGCTCTTTTTCAATGGGAAATTAGTGACTATATAAATAATTAGTGACTGTATAAATAATTTGAAACCAGTTTTTCACTGGCAACTTCTGTACACCCTTAATATTTACAAAGCTTAGTTTAGTCAGTCATAGGAACATTAAAAATCGTCTCAGTACATTGGCAATTGAAATCGTCATCACCCAAGGGACATGTGTCTGTGTGTGTGTGTGTTGATTAATTGATTGATTGAATCGTTTTACGGCTTATCAACCCTTTGCAGGATTTTGTAAGAATTTCTTTTGGGGATAATAATGGTTTAGTGATACAAGTTTTATCAATTAACCTATAGCTGGGGGGAGAAGGCATGGATTCATACCTTCCTGGAGTGTATTTGTGCGTAAATGAATATAACCAACCTAACGAGAATTGGAATTCGACTCCCCGATTAACAATTCCGAGCCATTATCCATTACACCATCCACACATCCAAGCTAACAGCATCTGGTATTCCTAAATGGTCACCCATTTAGGTACTCATTAGATTTGACGTTGCTTAACTTCGATCGTACAGGAGCCAGTGTTTCAAAGCTATATGACCGTAAAACGTGTGTGTGTGTTGTTCTTTGCGTGCGTGCGTTTATGAAAGTCTATGTGTCAGTTGGATGTCTTTTAAAGCGTTAATTTCTCTGCTTTCAAGTTTGTCTATTCTTTCCTTTGAAAAGTATCTTTGTCCGATGATTGATGAGAAAGACAAAAAGAAAGTAAAAAAGTGCTTAAGTGTCTTTGGCCTGAATATAAACTTTCTTCCTTCCCTAGCTTGTCTCATTGTCACAACAATACTTCAAAATCACCGGCCGTCGTCCACTGTAGACAAAAAAGCTTTTCCTTCAATGGAAAGGAAAAAAAATCACTCATCCACTCGCTGATAACAAGACCGTTTTGCTATGACTAAACAAATCCATTGGACACAGCAAAAAACAATGAAATCCCTCGGCTTCATTTTGAAAAGAAACATTATGAATTGAGGTTAATAGTCACTAGCCAAGGCTGAAATATGTTTTCACTTCGTCAAAACAATATTTGCGTATTTTCTATTTTATTTTCTTCTTTTATTTTCCAGGTTAGTTAAACTTTTTTTCCAGTTAACTTCCTTTTTTTTTCGTTTCCATGTTTAAAAATATGTTCGTTTGAATATTGACAAAAGAACTTTACAAAATAATTATCTTAAGTGCAAACAGAAGTAACAGGGATGAAAACCAATAAAGAAAAGAAAAAAGAACAAATGAAGAGAACATGGAACGATGAAAGAGAAGGAAAAAACAAAGAAAAGAAGAATAATAGAAAAGAAAAAATAGAAAATCAGGAGAAAAAGGAAAAATGTCAGAGAAAGAGAAGATCAAAGCGGAAAAATATGGTACGAAAGGGAAAAAAGTAGAAAGAAAAGAAGAGAGAGAGAGTGAGAGAGAGAGAGAGAGACGGAGAAAGCAGAAAAGAAAGAATTTATTAAAAAGGAAAGAAAAAAAAAGAAAGATAACAAAAAACATATAAGAGAATGACCACCCTGTGTGTTTGTGGAGAAAGAATTTGCCAAAAAATATTTCGTTGTAAAAAAAGAGGTTCGTCGCCATTGTACCTATAACATTCTTGTAAAATCTCCTTTTCCAAAGTTGCTATAGAAAAGGAAAAGCTTACAGAGAAAAACAGGAAAAAATCTCTTTGATGTGGCTAGAGAAGTAGCCTAATTCTAAATAATTATATTAGGTTGATGCAAAGATTTAGAGCATTTTGGGAAAATGTTTTTATAAATATATTCATGGAATCATTTAGTTATCAAATTATATTCCCTGGCTTCCTATAAAGTCACAGCACCCTAAAGGTAACTTGTGTATTCCGTTTTAAAAGAATGATTCTGCTTTTGAATGGATTAATACTTCCAGGGATTAGACATTTTAGAATGATACAAAAAGAGTTGCATGGAGCGAGATACCTGGTAGTCTGCATTTGAAAGTCTGGAGCATTTTCTGCATATTGAAATATTTCCCATCCAAGCTCTATGATAGTTTGTTTTGTAACGTTTGCATTTACTCTTCTAATGTGTCATTCAAACGAGCAAGTCACTCACCGTAGCGACGAGAACAGATTCCAGCAATTAATAAGAAAGACTACCTTTTTAAATTTGGTTAATTGTCTTTTATTCATTATTTACATTATTCGCATCTTTGTTTTTATGATCACAGCGTTTCGTCTGTTTTTAGATTTTGCATCTCTTCAGGTGTCTGTCAAATCACGTAAGCTTCTAGGAATTTCGAACTGAACTCTTTATTTAATCTACGGGAGTGAATTCTTCTCATTTGTTTTGTACACCTTCAGATAGAGCGCTACACGAAAATTTCTAGAAAAATAATTAAGTAAGGATTATTATAAAATCTTGTCTTATGTCAAGATAAATCGACAATTCATATCAGGCATTGGTGTTTATTGAATCCTTGCAGTTCGTCAAGAAAGGTAGACATCAGGTTTGACCAATGGTTAATCATTGTACATTTTGAACATCTTTCCAAGGACATTGAACTATCAATTTGAAGTCCGTTCCTCCAATGAACGAATTGAATTCGGTTGAAGTTTTGAAATTATCGTACATTATAGAAAACGAATTGGCAAAATTGGTCTGAATTTCTGATATCAGTTGTTATTCCAATTATACAAAGATTCTGTCTAATCAGTTTCATTGGCATGACGTTTCAGACATGGCATCCTTCAGTATTTTTCTGTCTGAAATTCTATGGCCAAATGTCCACATTACAAAACTATCATTTTTGAAGCACTCTTTAATGTTTCAGCAGCAAATCGTTATTTTTTTTTGGTGTGTGGTAGTGGTGGGGGCTGGATGTTGTTTTCATTCTACAGAGAATTTATTTAAATTGTGGAGAGAAATTATCCAAACTGTTAACAGCATGAAAAACCGAATCCATGTTACAAGTTCGAATTCCGTTTGACGTTTTAATGCCTGTGGGGAAGCGATGATTTCCTTTTTGGCAAAAGGTCAGGTCAGCAATCATTCACTGCTGTAATCCTCTACAAGAAGATATCGCATTTACTTGAAGACCTCCAAGGTCGTCGATGTATCTTTGTGGATCCTTCATGTCATTCATCGGGGGTTACTTGTCCATCCGACACAAATATCATGGATGATGCATTAAAATAGGTCATTTGATTGATTGTTCTTGGGAAAGGCATGAATTCACCTCTCCCTAAAATGTCACACCAGGAGTTATTACCTAGTGCTGATCTCATAACATATTCTGGTCTCAAGTAACATGTACTAATCTCAGTACATCGTGTGAGATATTACAATGAAAAGGGATGAACACTGATGTCCCTACTACTTTGGCCTTGATAAATACCAGGAAGTATCTAAGAAGGTCATCTGACAGTCTATGACCTCGTGGAGTAATTTCATTCTTTTTTAAAAGCTGAATTAAACCAAACAGTGGACCCTTCAAATTAATTGCATCTCCATTGCATACACTTCGTATCAATGCACAGTTATTTGTATTGGTGAGCGTTTGAGATACACAGAATCTGATTAGAAAAAAGTAGTTTTGCATGAACGACTTATTAAAGTTGTGATTAAAATCAATCACATAATGACCCGATTTCTCTGCGTGAGTGTCTGTCTTTAACACAGCAGGAGCGGCAGAGTGTAATAGGGATTTTTGTTGGGATCATTAAACCGATAATATGGCCAAATCTGAAGAATACGGCAATTTATAGGCCAATATATAACTTAATAATAGTGACATCATTTCCGTCTGGATTCCTGGGCTGAGTAATTATCATCATTTGCGGTATTTACAGTTGGACCAATGTCCCAATCTTTAGTGTTACTATCATAAAGTTTCGACCATTGTGCTCACTTGTCCTTCTTCAGATAACAGTTGATTCGCGCAACATTCAGGGAATTTCAAATTAAGAATGCAGATTGTTGCTACTTATGTGTACATTTGCACTACCTGGTGCAGGGATTGAACTAACAATTTCCATTGGGAAAACAAGCATTAATCAATGCTTTAAAGCCTGCAAGATAAAAAAATGTGAAAGGCCACATTGCTCTCAGAAAAAAACAGTCACGGGCCACAAAATGATTCCCAAAGATGATATATCTTAATCAAAATAATGAGTGTGCTTTGTTTTAGTAGCGAGTAAGCAGACAACAACCGTTTTTCAGGTGGTCTACATTTAATTTGTATTACCGGGACACGCCATCCAGTTATGTGGTAATTTAAAAAAAAATTTTTTTTAGATATTCCAACATTTAATATTTGTAAAAGGTTTTAAGCTGAACATTGTTGAGATGCATTTTTTTACAGGTTAAATTGTCAAATTTAGATTATAGATTCGTTCAGCAACATCACGTTACTTGTTAAAATATACCGCCGATTTTAACTGTTTTCATAGCGGAGTATTCAGATTAAAAAGTATGAAATATTGGAATAATTAAGAAAAGATTCACATAACCATTGGCCAAAGCAAAGGAAGTGTGATGAAAATGATAAAAAAAAACAAAAAACAAATCATGACCTTAATATAAAATCCGAAAAACAGGTCGGCACCTGCTCCATTACTATTAAATTGAGCGTGCAAGTGGGTTTTACAAGCACCGTAAAGAAAAGATGCCAATGGTAAAGTTCAATGTCGATAAATATTAAAACTATATTGCTAAGAAAAACTATGTTCTTTGACCACAGTGTCCGGTTGAATAAAAAATATTTTGGCCTTGTTCCTGGAAATTAATTTTAGGGTCCAGATGGAGACTTCAGAAGAAGAGGACGATTTAAACGTAATCAAATGACACACCCTTTTCAAAATTTTGCCCCAATATTTGATAAGTTTGAACTAAACGTTGGATAGTTATGCAATAAATATAAGAAAAGAGCATTTTTAAAAACATTGATTTAAAGTCAATAAAACTATAAATTTGAAATCAATTACAAAAAAGTTGAAAATATGATTGAAAACGAAAAAAGCTTTTTTAAATTTCAATTTAATTTCAGTAACACAATGGATTTTTAATAAATTGCCCTCAAATGGAATCAACTGCCAGTTCACGCCCAACTAATATTTGTTGACTGTCAGCCTTCTTTTATTGCCTTTTTTTTTCAACGGAGATATTGTAGTTTTTATTTTCATTGAAAATACGTGTAATTAGGATGTTTCTTATTTTAAAAAAATAAAAAAGTAGCAAAAATTAAATGCCTGTAGATTAAATTTAATTGCATTTTTAAGTCAAATATAACCGACCTTGCCCGTTTCTCTAAATATCTGTAACTGGATAATGGATGCGCAGTCAACGAAATGAAGACTCATTCCTAACAGTAAAGATTGTGTGTCCACATGAATATTTATCCTGTGGACATACTTAAATGAACCTTGTAAATAGAACTCTCTAATAAATCTTTACAAAAAAGCAAAATTCTTCAAAATGAAAAATCCAATATGGCTTTAAAGTCTAAAAAAATTGTAAGTACGTAATATACAAAAAGAAACCACGTCACCATTATGCTCCTTATGAAATTGCATCAGAAAAATGGAAATAAAGGTTAAACATAACACTTTTTTTACAAAAATTAACACAATAATTACCAATTGCAAATTTTCACTACAGCGAATACAAACAAGCAGCATCATTACATTCCGTTGACTGTATTTTCATTTTTTTGTGTCCCTACATTCGACGACTACCAATGTCTCATCATTTTTATGAAGTCGAATATTTTACTCGTCCCCCGCACACACACTTTCCCTAAACAGAGGACAGGGCAATACCGTCTCTCTTTCGTACATCACGCAGACAGGGTTTCTTCACATAGCTACAGTGTTTTAAACTTGAATTTGATTCGACTTGTTACAAGATGAGATCTTGCCCTGCTTCGATAAACGGAAGTTACAATCACGAGTCCCCGACTCGAAATGAAAACTGCACGTCTACGCATAGGCTCGACGCAGATACTTCCGTTTGGGATAAACTCAAAAAAAATGAAAAGAATTAAATCAACCAATCGGACCGTCTCCCGCGTATTAAAAAAAAATTGCCATTTGGAGCCGATAGGCGTGTATAAGTTCAACACGAAAAAGTCAAAAGAGAGTCCCATTCAACGGCGGAGGTAGAAGGGTCACGTCGCTCGCTCCTGACACACTGGCCCGGCGACGAAACGAAGCATGTGACCGCTGCTAATGAACTCTCGTCCGACGCTTTGTCAAAGGGTACCTTTCCCCTTCCATAAGTCAAGTTAACTCCACGAACTTTACTTGCCACTACCATAGACATTCAACTTCTTAAATACGAACTTTTTACTTGTTCTTATTTTCCTCACTAAAAAGACTATAAAATATATCTACAGTCTTTCTTGTTCTTTCGATTCTGAATTTCATTGTTTGCAACCAAACGCAGTATTTCGCCCACATTGTTTTCACATCGCCCACGCATCTAAATACGGAATATAACAGACTTTAGTCATATCAATGAACAGTATTTTCAGTTTAATTGAAATAGAAACAAAAAATAGAAAGAGTAGTTGGGGTGGAGAAAAATTTTTCTTTTTCTACGAAGAGTTAAAGGATTACCTAT